TAAATATTACCATTTAAATCAACAACCATTGCCCAACCAGTATAACTAATAAATAAGTGGTTTCCGAATAAGTTACTGTCAGAAAATTTATTTAGCCAAAGATTACCATCTTTAGGGGCTGATGGATCTGGACGAATTATATGAACGATCATCGTGTTATCATAATAACTAACTATCAGAAATAGCGGGTGGACTGTGCTGGCGTTTACAGTTGGTATGTCTTCATATATGAGAATATTTTTGTGATTTTATTGGTAATATATAGCAGAAATATAATTATTAAACTTCATCTTAGAAAATTTTGATTTTCGATTAACCAATCAAATTAATAATTCAAAAACTAAATAGCGATAAATTGAAGTATTAAACAATTTTTCGGTCCCCGAAAAGGTATCTAATGAATGTTCCATTTGTTTCTCATATTTAGTCTTATCGCTATTGTCATTTTTTAATAAACTTTTTCATCTTTATCATCGAAAAGAAAAACAAATGAGAGGTTTGCTAGGAATATCAGGTTCTGAGAAAAATATTTTTGATTATAATTAAGACCTTATTACAATTTAATCTAATAACGTCCAAAACTAAAATGCAATAAATGCCAGAGTCTGATTTTCCTGGCTCTGTGTTACACGAGGATTTGGTGTTAATTGATCGGCCGATTTAATTCAATTTTCCAAATAGAGATCCTCATTTCAAAGTTAGATGTAGTAGTGTTCTTTCACATTTTAAATTTCTTCAATACAAAAAAAATTCGGAATTTATTCAAGATTCCAAATTGAGATTATTTCAAAGGTGCTATTGTTAACTAGAATTTGATGTTGCGTCCAGTTGCATAATTTATCATACAAATTACTTTCATCTAGATAGCTTACTACCAAGATTTTCTAGAAATTAGATTTTTGATGTATTGTCCAGTTGCATAATTTATAATGCATATAATTTTTAAAATTCTTTTAACTAGCTAGATTTTGGTCATTCCGAAATTTGGATATTAAGCAATTTTCCAAATCGCGTATAACTATTCAACAATGAATAGATTATTTTATTTATGGAAAACAACATAATGAAATTGAGTAATTTATCATAATGAAAAATCGAATTTGTATTTATTCACTGCGAGTAAAAATTAATTTTTATAGCCCGAAAGCTTTGAAACACAATGAAACAATCTTAGGAAGAACAAATTGTTTATTGCATATCTTTCATTCTATCTCCAAAAATATTAAACAAATTATTGTGAAGAAACATTTCTTTTGCATAATTTAAAAAAAAAACATGGTTCAAAAATGTTATTTAACAGCGCTTCCTAAACGTTATTTTCTCATTAAATAAACGCACTTCAAAACGTTATTTCTCATCAAAATCCAATCGAAAACATTTATAACATTCATAAAAATAAAATTATTAAAAATAATGGCAATATTGCAGTTAAAAAGTTTTGTTATTCTCTTCATCTTCGTTGTTGTTACGACGGCAATATCCATTAAAACTGAAGCAGTAAACCTTGAAAAACGAACCAAC